TAATTCTCATCTAGATTCTCAATTACATAATCAATTTTTCTTTCTTTATAACCTTTAAATTGTATTTTTTTTCTTTTAGTTCTATGTGATCTATTTTCTAATTTTCTTTTAACGTCAGGATATACAATCATATCAACATGTTTATTATTCTCAATTCTATAGTCTATTAATTCAAATTTGTCAATTTGTGAATTAAAATTATGATTATAGTATCGAATTCCTTTGCTGTCTTCTAATGAATTATGATCCTCGATTATATAAGCAATTTGTTCGAGAGTAATATCGGAATTGAATTCGATGTCAAATCAAAGATTGATAGAATTTTCATATGAGCCCTTATGAAAAATTCTTTTTACTAAACAACAAAGACACTCAAATGCACAAGGGCGTATATCATCATTTCTAAACTTTTTGTACTCAATAATATAGTCAAATCGATTATAAATTGAAGAATATTTTTTTTTGTTTTCTATTTTAACAGTCTCATTTCCAAAATATGGGGTATCTTCGAAATAGACATATTGATTTCGCAAAGATATATTTGACGTGAATATATTTACAAACGAACAAAAATTTAGATACCCGCCTTTTTTCTGCATGGTATGTGGTTTGTTATTGATTAATGTCAACAGAGTCAAAAATTCTATGTTGTGATTATAAAAATCATCAAATACAAAAACTTTATTTTCATCATATCCCTCAAACTATTTTCCGTCATTTTGCGACTTGTGATATGCGTTAAAAAAAAGTATTTGTGTTAAGTAATCCTTTCCCGTTCTCGAGTCACCATAAATATAAATGTTGCAAGAAGTAAAACATCTCTTAAATGATTTTTTTTGACTATCTCAAATAGTGTTATAAAGTTCTTTGATTATATGTGGTACGATTTCTAAATTAACAAACGCGTCGATAACGATTTCATTTATTGGTTTGATTTGTTCTTTGATATCTTCAATCGTTTGTTTACGTATTTTTTTTGTTTTTCTAAATGTTGATTAAAACCTTCTACATTATGACTTGTTGGTAATTCTCCATATTTGAATGGTCCAGAATTATTATTGACACGTGCAAATGTTCGAAATTCCAAACAATTTTCATTACATTTGTCACATATTTTTGTTAAATCAAAAAAATCACATCTACAATAAGGATGATGTTTTGAACATCGATTTCTATCTTTCTTACAATATCTAACCACGTCTTCAAATGTTCCATTATGATAATCAATGTGCATTTCTTCGTTTTGAAAAATACTTTTAATCGTTGAAGCTTTTTTACTATATTTATAATTTCTCAATCTCAATTGTATCCATAACATACAAAATTCTTGAATATGTTTTTTTCTTGTTTTAGTATATTCATATTGAAAAACTATATATCGAATAATTTTTTTGTCAACATTTTCAGTTATTAATTTTTTATATTTTTGTAAATCGTCTGTGAAAATCATAAACATGAAACGTCTAAACTGTGTTTTCTTTGAAATATTCGTCATTGTTTGAATTTTCTATTTTTGTTATGTATTTATTTTGTGCTACTACACCCTTATATATATTTTTTTTTAATAACCGCAGTAATTAAATGTTAGTCTTAAAAAGGAAATTTAATTTATTTAACATTACGTGCCGCAGCAATAATCTACTGTGTATCAAATAAAAAACTATATAAATACTCGCTCCCAAAATTAGTTTAGGAAAATGTTAAATACAAACACATCTGGTTTCGAAAATATATATTATGAAAAATCTCGGAACTCGTGGGTATATCAAAAATATAAAAACAAACAGCTTCACAAACGTCGATTTCCTGGAGATCGTGAAGATAAATCTGTTCTGAACCGTGCGATCGAATATAAAAAATATTATGAAGCAAAATTAAATAACATATCAAATACTATTGATTACAAAAACACTAAAGCAAAACCAAAGAAACCATACAACAAACTCAAAATTAACTTTATACTTAACTAATTTATACAGCAATGTTTCAAAAATTAACTAGTGAGGAATACCCAAAATTATCCAAAGAAGAGAAAAGACATTATCGTAAATTAGAGAAGCAAAATGAACAATATCAATTAACTAAAATAGACCCAGTTTGGTCTTATATTGATCATTTTATTAATATTAATGATATTTTTAAAAACAGAATAAACCTTAACGATCCAAAGCTTTATGAAAGATTTACACTAATCCTTAATGAAATTCTTTACTAGGTATATATATACAAAGTAGAAAAGAATGCTAAATTTGTACAAAAATATCAATATTTGCTTAATAAAATACAAACTTCAACA